TTGTGAGAGAGCTTGCTTCTTGCCTTAGCCTTGCTTCGGGGAGAGGGAGGTCGGAAGGAAAAGAGGAAAATGGGGAAATGCACACCAGTTCTGCAAGGAGGGGGTCATCAGCGCGTGGAAACACTGACAGCTGAGCGCGTACCTCTGTGCGCGACAGGACAACAAGGGAAAAGCACCCGCTCCAGCACGCTCTTGCCCTTCAGATGTTTGTGTATCGCTCGTCAGCGGGACGGTCAAAGTCGATGTCCAGTTCGCATATTCGCCAGTCCTCATACGTGTTGTCCGGAAGCACACGCCGTACGATGAGCGGTATGACACCCTCGCGAAGCTCCTTTTGGGCGATGATGAGCGGATCCGTCTCGCCCTCCAAGGCCACCAGCACCGGCGCGTTCATGCTGATCTGCAGCGCCCGTGTGCCAAGGATGCGGGCCCGCTCGTATTTTGTCAGCACCGGCGCAGTCACACGGTCCTTGCCGTCGCGTCTTACGGCAGAGCCGCTCGCCGCACGCCCGGACAGGACAACGTCCGCGCCATCGCCCTCGCTCTGTTCGTCATCACTGCGCAGGGTGCTCTCCTCCTGTTCCTCGCCGAAGTTCAGACTCAGCCGGTCGTCATCCCCGTCACGGTCGGACATCTCCCTTCCTTCCCCAGAAGCAACCCACAACAACACCCACAGAGCAAAAAGAGGCAAATATCACACCAGCTACGTGCGCCCGTGCCCCTCGCACGCAGAGCACAGCACAACTGGTGCAGCAGACCGTCACTTCCCCGCACACAGGCACCATACACACGCGCAACAAATCACCGGGACGCACGTGCGCACGCCAAACAGCGGTGGGCAGCGACAACGGCAAACAGAGCAGCGCACTCGCACTAAACCAACCACTGGTTTGTCGTCGCACAAAAAGCAATAACATACGACAAACAATTACAGCGAATGGCTACTCACACAAACCACGCTGATGGTGGCATTCCGGCAAAGGTATTGCCGAGCACACGCAAAGCAAAAATGCTCAGAGGAGAAGAAAACATAAAACTGAATATGCTAACACCACTAAAAGCAACAGCAACAAAAATAAAGACACTTCTTTTCCGTATGTTTCCAAAGAAAACCAGGTGGCAAATCAGTGCGCAAACAATACGTTCGCCACACAGCACTTCCCTCCTGCGCTATCCATGGGTCGCGTGCGGCGCTGCCGCTCTTTACTTCTACGCACAGCACTGAAAGAAGCTGGAAAGCAGAAAAAGACCGCAGGCGGCGCAAATGAGGTAGAAGGCCTCGGAAAACTTGTAGCCCTGATCCTTAAGGGGACCGTACTGCGAGGATAGCACGGCGTCGCTCTGGCAGTAACCCTTCATGTACCCATACACAATAAGCGCCACGCATGCTCCGCAAGCGGCGAACGCAAGGGAAATCAGTGAGGCTGCGCAGCAAGTGAAGCGGGAGCTCTTTTCTTCCAGAATGAGCTGGGCGATAGCAAGTCCCAGAACGACGAGGCCAATGCCTGCCGCAGCCACAGCCGCACCCTCTGATACCTGAAAAAATAGCTTGTACTGCCCACACAAACTATCACTCACATCAACCTTGGTACCAACGCCACCTGGAACGGTCGTCTGGCTGTACCACAGTGTCTGCTTTATCTTCTTCGTGTTGCTCTCCTTCTTGAACACAGGAAAGATGTTCGCACACGCAGCGCAGCCAATAGCCAAAATGGTGAAAATCAACACAGTCACGCGGCAGGAGAAATTGTTTCCTCCTTGACGATTGTGAGAGATCTTGCTCATAGCCTTAGCCTTGCTTCGGGGAGACGGAGGGCGGAAGGAAAAGAGGAACATGGGGAAATGCACACCAGTTCGGCAAGGAGGGGGTCATCAGCGCGTGGAAACACAACCGCAACGAAGAAGTAACTCCTCCTGACGCACGTCATCATTTACAGGTTACACCTCACTGAGGTCTCAAATACTGAAAAATAGAAAATATGTGGGTGGAATAATCGAAACTCTAGATATCGATCGTTTGTTGTTACAAACGTATTTTTTTCTTTTTACTTCTAAGCACAGCACTGGAAGAAGCTGGAAACAAAAAAGAAAACACAGGCGGCGCAAATGAGGTAGAAGGCCTCGGAAAACTTGTAGCCCTGATCCTTAAAGGGACCGTACTGCGAGGATAGCACGGCGTCGCTCTGGCAGTAACCCTTCATGTACCCATACACAATAAGCGCCACGCATGCTCCGCAAGCGGCGAACGCAAGGGAAAGCAACAAGGACATTGTGCAATTCAAACAGGAGCTTTTTTCTTCCAAAACGAGCCGGGCGATAGCAAGTCCCAGAACGACGAGGCCAATGCCTGCCGCACCCACAGCCGCGCCCTCTGATACCTGAAAAAATAGCTTGTACTGCCCACACAAACTATCACTCACATCAACCTTGGTACCAACGCCACCTGGAACGGTCGTCTGGTTGTACCACAGTGTCTGCTTTACCTTCGCAGCGTCGCTCTCCTTCTCGAACAAAGGAAAGATGTTCACACACACAGCGCAGCCAATAGCCAAAATGGTGAAAATCAACACAAACACGCGGCAGCAAGAACACATGTTTCCTCCTTGACGATTGTGAGAGATCTTGCTTCTTGCCTTAGCCTTGCTTCGGGGAGAGGGAGGGCGGAAGGAAAAGAGGAACATGGGGAAATGCACACCAGTTCGGCAAGGAGGGGGTCATCAGCGCGTGGAAACACTGACAGCTGACCGCGTACCTCTGTGCGCGACAGTATCAGAAACCGTTTCTGTTTTTCATTTCTTTTTTGTATTACTTTTATTTTTCATCTAAAAGAATACTATTTGATGCACTATACGACACAGTTGTTACTTTTTTGTAAAGCCTCAAGCATGCGTCCCATGTACAAGCGGAATTCTTCGGGTTTTATCTCTCCATTTGTTGTGGTTGCACCCTCATTTGTGAGTAATGAAAGGCGCAGAAATCGCTGCGCTTTCTCTTCATCGCCAACTGTATTGTTGATCCAAAAGGTGCAGCCGTTGCGCCATTTCTCTATGTTATGTGCTACACAATGAGGGTGTTTGAGAAGAAAGTGAACACGTGAGTCCAGTATGGTCGGCTCCGTCTCTGGTGGATAGGATGTAGAGGCAAAGACCTCAAGCGGAGAATATTCATAGTCGTATTTCAAAAGTGCGTACTGTGTGCGTAGTCCGCCGAGGTCGCCCTGCGTGCCCTTTATGCCGTGAACGCGTTGCACTTCATCCAATATATATTTTCTTTCCCCATGGGTGAGTTCGTAGCGACGTCGATCGGCCCACAATAACAACTCGTCAAGCCACGACGACCTAAAGGTTCCAAGCTGTTGCGTGGCATGCTGATACAGCTCCAGTAGCTTGGGTGACTCGATACGCAGATATATCTTCATTAGCCTAGAGATGATCCGGGTGGTGAGAGGAGTCCCCTTTTCTTTCATCCTGCGCAAAACCTCCTCTGCCCCGTTAGCAGGGTCCATGGAGTTATGTGCATGTTGCAGGAGCGCACAGAAATAGAACTCGTTCGTGCAGTGCATCAGCTGCTGGTCGTGGCACGGCTGAAGGTATTCCTCCTCAAAGCGAGGAACCTGGCATCTGGATAGTGCATTAATGGCAGTCTGCAGCAGGTACTCATTCCCGCGGCGGTCCAAGGCGTGGCTGCCATCACCAAGGGCATCTTTCGCCTGTGTAAAGGCGGCGAGGGCCAAATCCGCAGCTCGCGTCTCACCTGCTGCCATGAGTACAATGCTCCACACACTTATGCCAAGTTTGCACCCATCACGTAACATTGCCCGT